CATAAAATACTCATTATTTCTGTGAATGCGGTAATCATTGGGAGAGAGAGAGAGAGAGAGAGAGAGACGTATGTATGGGAGGGGAAAGGCATATAGTTTTGGCGTAAAACAGCAAAAACACAAACGCAATAAATCACACATACCTGGGAATCGTGGGATCGTCGACATCCACGTCCCACACGTTCACCCGTCCGGACTGATTGCCGAGCGCCAGGATCTTCTGCTGCGCGTCCATCGAGAACCGCATAAACCAAATATCGCAGTCTTTATACTCAAACTTGTGGATCAAAGTGCTGGACGAGTCGCTGGAGTAGGACTTCGGGATCTGTATGTCGGACTCGTCCTCCAGTTTGCCAGGTTTCCAGCAGACAATGGCGTTCTCGCAGGACTTGGACAGCACGAAGTTGCCGAACCATCGGACACAGTCCACGTAATTGCGGTGTATATCCCGGGTGGTGAACAGCGGGAAGTTGTCCCGCACTGTACCGAACGGTACGTTGGTTTTGGCGCCGTTATAGCTGTACGACTCGTGTATGGCGTCCTGAATGTCCCGTTTGTCCAGCGACCAGATCTTCAGCGAGTGATCCATACCGCAGCTGATTATCTTATGGCCGCGCAGGTGGAAGTCCGCGGACAGCACCTCATCCCTGTGCCCCTCGACGCCGCCGAATATGGCTACGCATTGATCCGTCTTTATATTCCACAGCCGGAGGGTATGGTCTTTGCTGACCGACAACAGGAGGTTGGGATCCAATGGACTAATCTTGAGATCATTGATGGCATTGCCTGCGAACCGCGCGCACAGAAAAATCATTAAAAATACAAAAATAAACACATTTTGGTATTAGTATCGTATGAGTGCGAGTGGAAAGGTATGCCACAAACCGTGTCCGATGTAGTGCTTAATACACTGCTGGGAGGAGTTACTGATAATCCGGATAATACCGCGACTGCCGGCCGCCGCCAGCAACGGTAGTCCCGTCACGTCATCGTAACTCCAGGCGCACGTGTAGAAGCTCTCATCCGCGTCGGTGTCGGCGTAACACTGCGCCAAACGTATGGTACCGTCGCTGAGACACTCGTAAATGGAGACCCGATTGTTGCCGACTGTGGCGAAGTAGTTGTGGCCGTCGGGCAGGTGTTGGTTGAATTGGACGCCAAATATGGGCGACCGGTGGTCCTCCCGAAGCCAATACGAGAACTTGTACTGCAGTCGCGACGACTGCTTCTTGGGACCAGTTGTGGACGACTTGGGTCTGCCGACCGATGCGGAGGTGGTGCTCAACACCGGCGACTCGCGACTCGACGCCGGCTGAGAGGGCGGGCCACCCATTGCCGAGCTCTTGCGCTTCCGGTTAGGCTTTGGCTGTTTGGCGACCCCTTTGTCGCAGACGTGATCGTCGGCGGAACCATTGGCGCCATTCTTGCGCAACGAGTTCCGGGTGATCCGACTGTTGCCACCATTGGCGGCGATTCGGTCGTCCTATTCGGTGATAATATCATCAATGAGTGGGATGTCTGGGCAGGCAATGAGTGGTAAGGACTCACGTCATCCGCGTCCGACACGTCTTTGTCTGGACTGTGATTCTCGACGCCGTCATCGACGGACACATCCATGGATTCATCGCTCACTTTCGACATGTTCTTGTTGATGGCGTTCAACTGATAAGACAATGAATGCATTCAGTGATACAGACAGTGGTAAACATATGGCTTCGGCAGCGATTGAGTCAACACTCACAGCATTCCTGAAGAATCCGAACATTCAAACCACGAGCCGATCATTGATGATAAGCGCGTGTCTCCATGGGATCAGATCAGTGACTAATTACTTAAAAAACTTTTATATCAATTGAAAAACTAAATTAAAATCAATTTAAAAAAACACTACAAAAAAGCTAAACCTAAAAATCGGGATCAATTACACTGTAAATGGTGTTCACATGTATGAAATACACTGATTGGTGATAATGATGAGACAATTGGCGTCTAAATCGGTGTTTAAATTGTGTCTTAAACGGCAGTTATCACCAAATAATAGGTCCAATAAATGACATGAAAACACAATAACACAGGCGTTGAGTGAACTGATTGTATGAGTGGTGAAAGAGTCCCGCCTTTTGCTATGCATTCATTGCATAACTCAATACAATTCACACCATTTATAGGGTGTTTCACGAGTGGTGAGCGCGGATCAAGTGGTCGATCGCCAGTGAGTGGTGTTTTGGCATTGTTTTAATCGTTTCATTATGATTGTAGTTAATTTAATCTAGTTTATTGTGCATTTTGATTGATTTTTATAGCGGGTTTACTTTATGTAGCGTGGTTTTAATATTGTTTACGAGTTGTAGTTTATTTTATGTGTGGACGTAATTTAGTACCTTTTTGATATTAGTAACGCTATGCGAGTTATGTATGAAAAGGAGTGATATTAACGGATTTATTTGCAATAGTTTTGCGAGTTTTGCAAACTTTTGCATTTCAGTCGCGATTTAAATGCTATTTTCAAACACGTGTTAATCGTTTCGCGTAATTATCACCAAATATTAACCACAATCTCATTGATACTCGTCATCACCGGTATGGACGCGTCGACCGCGATGTCCGCGGACACCAATCCACCAAAGAGTGAGCTCCGGAGGACTGTCACCACCCATGCGTTGAGTCCGTGGAGCGATCGCCACGAGTTGGTCACCGTCTTCGGCAGTATTTACCAGAACCCAGACTTCGTGGACATCGACTACGAGCTGCTGACGTTCGCCAAGAATAAGATCACCATTTGGTTGACTCGTGTGCACCACAACGTGGACGTTGCCGTCCACCTGATGGCCACCCGTGAGATGATCAACGCCTTGATTGAAGACAATCGCGCGAACCAGAGGCTGGACGAGGAGGACAGGGATGAGAGCGCTGTCTACTCGCTGTACTGTAAGGCATGGATTAAATACGAGTGATGTTTGTATTAACTCATGGTTTGTCACCACCAATAGGTCTGGCGGTGATCCGGTTCTGTACGGCTATCTCGCAGTACTCGCACGAGAATAACATGAAAAGCGTGCGCCGATTGGCCCACAAGTACTCGTGTCCGCAATGGATCATCGATTGTCGCCACAGTTTGTGTCATTCCTCCGGTACTCAGCCGTCCATCGAAGAGCTCCGAAGCGCGGCACTCATTGGACTCCATTGGATGCGACAGTACTTCTGGGAAAAAGTTTTAGACAATAATAGCGCTAAACGTGGCGTTGATTGCGATTATTATGCGCTAATCGAGAGGTATATTAGCGTCGAGAACAAGGCTAAGAAACGGACTAAAAGTGAGATAATATCCGCTATTAAACACACGAGGAATGAGTTGGTGTCGGCGGTGGTCAGGCATCTGATCGCCAGCGAGAGTAATGGCGACAAAAAGTTGGCCAACGAGTCGTTAAAAGTGCCGAAAATGTATTTAAGAAAGTTTGCGAACGTCTTCGCGATTATCATTAGCTATCAGTCGCTGCCACTGCTGTTGAATCAATTGGTGACACACATTGACAGCGATAATCGCACGCAAAGGCATCTGGCGATGAGTTGGTTCGCGACACTGATCCGTACCATTGGATCCGATAATAAAGTGTCGAAATTTAAGAGACATTTCCAGCGCCTGTCGTACGGGTCGGTGATGGCGAGGATAGAGTGGGTGCGCCTACTGTACGCTGTGGTGAAGAGACCTAATGGTAGGACATCAGCGCTGATCCAATTGATGGCACCGATTGTGGCGGATGTGGTCTCGGAGGACAAGATTGAGGTACTGATGAATCTGGCGATGAGATACTCGTACGAGTCGATTGAGACAATCAATGAAAATAATGACCAAAACTCTGGTGATAAAGGATTCGTCGCGAAGACAGTGATGGACTTGTTGCCAGAGAATCAGATCAATGACTCCGAGGCTAATAGCGGTAAGAATGCGGTCATAAAAATGGATGATATGTTTGATAATGGGATTTGTTTTTTGTTGTTATAATCACTCAATGGTTATTAAAATGTAGGAAATTCTTCGCATATTTCACGCTTTTCACTGAAAATAGTTTATTATCTTATTT